CAAGAATTTCTTAAATAGAAACAAAGGTGTGAGACACTAAAAATAAGAAATAAATGGCATCACTAAGAATGTAAATAGAGGGCTGGAGATGTGGCCCAGTGGTTAACAGAATGCATTGCTCTTGCAGAGGACCCTAGCTCTGTTCCCAGCACCTGTGTAAGGTGGCTTACAACTGCCTGCAGCTCCAGCTCCAAGGGGATCTGACACCCTCTAGTCTCTATGGGTACTAGCACTCAGGAGAACATTGCCCGTTCCTCCCCCCACAGAGATGCATTATAACAACAACAATAATAAATAAGCCAAGTACTAGGAGATATTTTAATACATATAGCTGACACAGTAGTCCTAAATATATTTTAAAGACTCCACAAAGTCAATAAGAGAGAAATAACTCAAAACTGGTGAAAGATTTTAGTATGAACTTAATAAGGGATAGCCAAAAGCCTTCTATCATATTTACCTTTAGCTGCCAATTTGACATAAACTTAGAGTCATTTTGGGAAAGGGAACCTCAGGGGAAGAACTGCCCTGATCAGTTTGACCTGTGGCATGTCTGTGAGGCATTTTCTTAATTGCTAATTGATGTAAGAGGTCCCAGCTCATTTCAGTGCTCCAGTCCTAGGCAGGAGGGTCTGGGCTGTGTAAGAAAGGCAGCTGAACAAACCAGAGGTGGTAAGTAGTAGTTTCTACTTCAACTCCTTCCTTGAGTTCCTGCCTCGGCTTCCTTCAATAATGAACATAACCTGTAAGATGAAATAAACACTTTCCTCTAAGTTACTTTTACTTATGGTTTTCACCACAGCAACAGAATCCAAATTAGAACAGCTACTGACACAGAAAAAAAATCCAACATTAATCATCAATATTGAAAGTATAATGAGACATTACCACATACCCAACAGAAAGACTGTAATTAAAATGACTGACAATATCAAAGGTTATCTCTGATGAGTGAAAGGGTAAATTGGTTCAACCACATTGGGTTTATAAGCAACAGAAAGGAGGATGGCTATTAAAAAAGTATGAGCACAAATGTCAATAGCAGTTTTATTCAAAGCATGTGACACACTTTAATTCAGATAAAATTAAAATGTTATCTTCTAAGATTTCAACCATGAGTAAAAAGAGGAGCCAATATCAAAAAGAGCTCCACAAAGGGCTGCATACTGCAGTTCAAGAGAAAGATTGATAAAATGTAGAGAAGAAACAAGTGAGACCTGGATAGGCACTATTTATCAATGAACCTGAAAATGGAATTGGGATTTCCAGATCTAAGCTTGTTGAGTCATGCTGAGCTCTATTTGAGTATGAGAATAACAGCCCACTAACTGTGTTTTGGAATTATCTGCTGTATACACAAACAGTGTGGTGGTGGTGGTAGTGGTGGTGTGCCTATGTGCCTGCATGTGTGCATGTGTGTGGCGTCAGGACAGGAAAAAGAAAGGCCAGAGTACAGCCAATGAGATTCTTGAATATTATGGCTTCAGCTCATTGATCTCAAAACCATAATGAAGCGGGTTCTAGTTTTAGAGAGCTAGACCTCCAAATGACCTCCTTCCTGTCTGTGATGTTCAGCTCTTTTTCCACATACAGTACCAGTGAAGGACAGTGTTTATGGAACTCTGGAAGCTCCTGGGTGGGGAGCATCATACCCACCCCCACTGGCTGTATGCCTTACACTGCATGCCCACCATGACATCTTTTCTAAAAGCAGCAACAACCTCATTTAAACACAGAATGGAAGGACTGTTTGAGAAGAGATCAACAAGCATGGCCCAGGGCACTGTGGTTAAGCACCCACAGGGCCAGGGCATACATGGAGCTTGGTATCAATGAGTGACATGAGGTATTCATGTAAACTTCTACCTCAACCACACACAGCCTGATTAAACTACCTCCTGGTGGTATGGGGAGAGCCAAAGAAATCTGTCATTTTTAGTAGGAAGAAGTATAGAAAATGTTGTCAGGAAAAAAAATAAAACGTGTTGCTGTTTTACAAGTAAACAGTCCACAGGAAGCCACAAGACTATTTTAAAATCCCTATTGAAAGTCCCTAGGAAAGATGTAGACTACAGTTCCAAAGAATGAGCTCCTAAACTAAACCTGTTGGGCTCAGCTATTGAAACGACAAACGGTTGTGGAAGAAAATAAAACATATTTACAAACCGGGAAATTCATTCAAGCAAACACAGGAACCCAGAAGCCCTTGCAATGAAATAGGTAGTCCATCCAATTCTGCTGTAAGCACTGTGGGGTGGGATCACCCTCCACATAACTCGATCACAGCCCTTCCCATCCATGTTCCCCTCATTTTCCTCCTGTGCGCGTCCTGAGATGGAATTCTTCTCATAGAGGCACTAATTCTTGTGGTCACATGCTTTCCTATTTTGACCTGTGTTGATAATGCCCATAGACCAAAACTACAATCCCCTCCCAAGCCATTCGGAAGCCGTGGCCCTAACCTCTTGTTGAGATTAAGTTTTGCGGGAGGTGATGCAGGCTGACGGGGAGCCTAAACTCACAGCTAAGGTGTATCCAGTGTATTAAACGCTTAGAGTCAGGGACTGAAGGCAGCTTCAGAGAATGTTTCCAGGAACCTAGTGCCTGGGCTGTGGCTTGGTTCACAAGAAGAGGAAGGACCTCACAGGTGGAAGGGCCTCCTCCCCTACACACGTGCAGAGAGATGAGAGATTAATAGATGGCCAGGAACGTGGAGACGGGAGGTAGGATAGTGAGGAAAGCCAGGTCTTTGGAAGACTTTGATGGCATGCCCCGGATGACTGGAATTTTACCCTGAACATGTGGATGGACAACTGACCACACGGTTTGCAAGGTACCATGATTTATCTTTCACTCACTAATGACAAGGGGATTGATTATACTACACGAAGGTGATGTCTAGGACAGGATAATTCTACCTTACAGAGCATAGAGGGGTTGACCCTGAACATAGATTTAAAGGCTTGTCTCATTCATTTCCAAAGTCGAGGAAAAAGGATGTACACAGAGCATGGCATCATGAGAAATACGGAGAAGACTCAGGACTGTAAGATAGCGGAAACAGGAAGCAGCCTCAAGATGGCAGAAACAGGAAGCAGCCTCAAGATGGCAAGAATGGTTTGAGAGAGATGTCAGGAAGCATTACTTTACCCAGGAAACTGCAAGCATCTGGAACTAATCCACATCAGAGACAGTAGGGAGGCAAATATAGATTCAAAAAGAGTTTTGTTACATTGGTCTGAGGAGAGTCATGCCATGACTCAGGGAGGCAGAGATGCTGGGACCTCTGCCTAACCATTTGAGGGTGAAATCATACAGAGCCCCGTGCCTTCCGGGAGAGCCTCACAGACAGGGTAGACCAAGGATTGAGTGAACTGACCACTCATTAAAGCCAGCCTGGTATCACAAATCTTCTCAAACCTGCGTGATCCTGGTTCTGATAATGGTGGGGAAGCCAGACTCAGAGCAGGGAACTGCGGAACCCACGCACCCACCTGTTGGTACCACTGAATCTTCTCTTCCCCTACTGTACTAAGAACTACCAACCACTCAGGTACCGGGGAAGGCCTGTGAATACCCTTGCCCCTGAACTCTGAGCAATATTTCTTCATACGGTTCTCTTCTTTTTTTTTTTTTTTTATCATGGATATTACTTTAGGGCAATGTCCACATAGGAGGCTTCTATGCCCAGTGACAGGGATAAGGACATGGAAATCGCTATGAAAAATCTGATGATCTTGCTGGGGACCAGGAAGAAGCTGAGGACCAAGGATGAAGAAATGGCAAAAGTAATATTGGTGCTAGTGGTGGTGGTTGCAATGGTGGGTCGATAGCTGAGATAAACCATGGAGGGAAAGGCGGCAAAGACAGAAGCGTGGATTGTGACGACGAAAGTGAGGATGATGGATGTGTTCACAGAAACAGTGGAGAAATCCCAGCGGAGATGACAAAGTTAGCCGAAATAGGATTCAAGATGGTGGTGGTAGAAGTGACCGTGAAGGTAACGGAGCACTGGGGGCAGGGGTCACGAGGGGAGTGGGAGCAGTGAGCAGTGACGACGGATGTGATGTATCCACTTAACGCAAAGCCACAGGAAGACATGATGGTGTGTGGTGGGAAAGACGGAGGGCGTGGAGACTAAGAAACGACGATGGTGGGGAGAAGAGGATGAAGGCGTTGGAGTTGTGGGTGGAGAGGTGGGTGATGACAGTGGTCGCAGGGGAGGTGGGGAAGACAGAGGAAAGAAGGAAGGAAGGAAGGACAGATGGAAGGAAGGACAGATGGAAGGAAGGACAGAAGGAAGGAAGGGCAGATGGAAGGATGGATGGAAGGAAGGATGGAAGGAAGGAAGGACAGATGGAAGGATGGGTGGAAGGAAGGAAGGACAGATAGAAGGATGGATGGAAGGAAGGAAGGAAGAAGGGAAGGAAGGGAGGAAGGGCAGATGGAAGGATGGATGGAAGGAAGGACAGATGGAAGGAAGGAAGGAAGGACAGATAGAAGGATGGATGGAAGGAAGGACAGATGGAAGGAAGGATGGAAGGGAGGAAGGAAGGAAGAAGGGAAGGAAGGAAGGAAGGATGGAAGGAAGGAAGGAAGGAAGGAAGGAAGGAAGGAAGAAAGGAAGGAAGGGAATTGTGAAGCAGACCAAAGGGAGGGGTTCCAGTAACATGCGAGTCTTGAACCAGAATGTGCCAGCTTATAAAACTCAGGTAGAGGAGAGAGACAGGGCATTCCAAGCTAATGAAAAGTTAGTGAGAACTTGCAGGGGATAATAAGCTGGGCTAGATAATAGTGTTTAATTATTAAGTGTTTTTATTACTTACAAGGATTATATATGTACGTTAAATAACCTATCCATACATAAGTAACTTGTATATATGAACAATATATATTAATATATGTGCTCTTTGTCAAGACCATTTTAAAGAGACATCACTAAGCTCTGTTTTAAGGGAAAAGAGAAGATTAAAAAAAATCCAAAGTGTACCCCAGAGGAATTATTTACAGATGGCAAAAGAGATTAAAATCTGGAAAATTCTGACACTGACTACATGAAGGTAGAAAGTTAGGCAAGTTTTATAGTGGAAAAACGCTTTATGTTAGAGGTATGGAAAATTTTAGAGTACTTTCATCCAAAAGTTTTCAATGAACAGGTGGCAGAGACTAACGAAAATATTAGTCACTCAGCAAGATGTTGAAACTATTAAAAAGAATGTCAACTCTACTCTTTCACACTGTTGTTTCTTTCTTACTTGGAGGATAACACTGTGTCTGTGTGACTTTTCACTTTACAATGTATCCTACATTCTTTGTGTGATCTGTGTATCTGGAAAACTGGTGTGGAAAACTAGTAGGTTAAGATGAAAACTATAAAACAAAACAAACAAAAATAATGAAGTGTGTCCTGGAACTCACTGTGCATGTGTTCACAGAGACTTTCCTCAGGGTTTGCCCTTTTTCTTCTCAATTTCCAGGATGCATGGGCAGGCATTTCCTCCTTATGTGTCACTTGTCACTTGACTTTGTGGATGGTTTGTTCTGAGACAGGACCTATTCTTGGAGAAAGGAGGAAAGCCAGAAGTAAAAAGTCCCCAGTACTTCCTCAGGATCTCGGGCTTAACCTCTCTCCCTCCCCCAGTCAAGAAAACAATCCAAATGAGAGGAGAGTTTTTGAGCCAAGGAGCTACAGAAACCACGAGAGCTAACATGGTAATGGCTTCCCCATCTCTCCTCAGCCAGAACTCAGAAGGTCAGTTATAGGGAGGTGAGAGGAAGGTCTCCAGAGAGAGAGACAGAGGTCAGGTCAGTCTGCAGAACAGTTTATTCAGCGGCTGGAAATTCCTTCTGCCATGGCCCTGACTCTCAGTGAGCAGAGCATTCCAGACTCCACCAGGAAGGAGGCATGAGGGATTCCAGTCACAGCCAGGGAGACCCTGAGTCAGTCCTCTGGGGAGAACCTCTCCAACTCCCTGAACCCTTTCTACACCTATTAGGGAGGAAATGAACCAAGGATCTCAATTCTAACACTGGGGGTTGGGGGTTGGAGCCACTGGCCACTTCAGTGAACTCGGAGTATGTGCAAAACATGAAAGCCAACATCCACACAGATCGCATGGCAACCGTTGCTATGCACCGGCACTTACAGGCTCCATCGTTTGAACCACATGGAAGTCCATTTCTTTTTTCTTTTGCGACTGTCTCATCTAGCTCCAAACTTGCTACATAGCTAAAGCTAGCCTGAAATTAACCTTCCTGCCTCCACCTCCCAAGTGCCAGGATTATAGGTATGTGGCACCACCCCAGCCCCAACTTCCTCTTTTTTTGTGGGACAAAACAAATCCAATTCTAACAAATTCACTTAACCCCTCTACAGTGTACCTGAAATGATCTAAGTGCTTTCTGGTGACGTAAGCTCATCTAATGCTCACAGTCACTCCGTGAGAGGGTGACACTTCTGAGTAAACCAAGGCTCCGAGACATGAAGCTCTGCTTCAGTTCCTTCCACCCCTCTCCTCTGTCGGGCCGGCTGGTCTCAGGCCAGAGCTTGCTCCCCACTAAGGAGTCACAGAAGCCAGGAAACAACCACCTCTGAGAAGAGAAAGGGAGATTAATACTGTGAGTATTACTCTGCTTGGCGCAATACGTAATTTATCATCTTGGTCCTTGCTATGGACTGAATGTTTATGTGCCTCCCAAATCCATGTGGCGAGCCTTGCCCTCTAGTGCCATGGTATGATGTGGCCGGGTCTTGAGGAAGGAATTAGGTCCCAATGGTGGAGCTCCAAGGAAAGAGATTAGTACCTTTCTTGAGAGACTCTCTTTCTCCTGGCCAATCGAGGATACAGAGAAGATCACCCTTTGCCAAGCCGGAAGAAGACCCCCCCCCCCTCAGATCCTTGTGTGCCTGTGCCTCGACTTTGTCCTTCCAAACCTCCAGATGGCTGTCAGCTCCTCAGTCAGGAGCATCCTATCCTTACAGCCCTAACTGACTAAGACACCTTTAAGAATGCTGCCAAATTAACCCCACTTCAGAAGTGGGGGAACAAAGCCCAGGCCTGAGGGATCCTGCCTGTGGCCCCTCAGCAAGAGTGGAAAGCCCAGCTATGATCCTGAATGCCTGGAACAGCTGGTGCCTCCAACGCTCCCCAGGCTTCACCTCAGGACGCCGGGCACTCCATCCAACGGCGGTGCCATAGCCCACACAGCCTCTGCGGAAACTCTCTCTCGAGCCAGGAAAAGCAGTCTCATGGCTACGTGGCTGTGCTTGCCGGTTAGCCTCGCGTCTTCTCCCCGTCTTCCTAGAGAAGCAATGTTAGACAGACTAGGGTTGCAGTAGCAGGGCTTGAGTCTGCTTGCCTGGTGTGTGATCTTTGGAGAGCTGCTTAAGCTCCCCCTGCCTCAGTTTCCACCTGTACACAACTTGGACAGAGGGTGTTCCTGTTGTATTTTCCTTGAAGGGTTGAAATGATGAATCTAGATGATTAATGAAGTGCTGAGCAGAATACTATTACCCAGAGGGTTTAGTAAATATCGTCCATTTCCCCCTTTCCAGGGAAGCCCCAGATGACTCTATTTCCTCTCCTTTCTGTTTCCCGGAATCCTAAGGATGTCTGTCTTACATTAGTGCTCCGTCGGACACACCTGTAGATCATTCTAGCAGACCAGGAGCCCTCCTAGAACACCCTCTTCGGGGCTAAGGGTGTGGCTCAATTGGTAGAGTGCTTGCTCAGAATGTAAGAAGCCCTGGGTTGGACACTAGCATCACATAAAACGGCATCTAGTGTCACATGCCTCTAATCCCAGCACTTGGGAAGTGGAGGCAGGAAGATCAAGCCATTATTAGGTACATAGAGGACTTGAACTAGCCTGGGTTACATGACACTCTGTCTCAGGGAAGACCAAATAAGGAAAAAAAAAAACAAAACAAAACAATGCGTGTCTCGTCTTTGGCAAAGAATGAAGGAGCTCCAGATAACAAGCAGCTATTTTGAATTTTAAAGCAACAACCTTTTCCATCATGAAATTTCAAGACATTTTGAACAGGAGCTGGGCCTCACTGACTCTGAGTATCCAGCCTCCTCTGGGAGGAAGATGATTTGCATGCATAAATTCTGATCTGTGGTTTTTCAAGTCAGTGCTCCTTTGTGTCCCCCACACTGCCCTGCACACAGTAGGAACTCAATAAATAGGTGTTTATTTATTGAAGTCCTCCAGAGCCCCTGGTTTCACAAACAGAAACCAGAACCCGAGTCTCCTCCCTTGCAGGCCAGGCCTTGGTCCATCTGAGCACACAGATGACCATTCACCGGCCCATCCCTCTGGGAATAGTGTCCAGGCTCTAAGCGGGGTTGTTTGAAAGGGGTCCATTATCTCCCCTGAGTGGGGCCTCCGATGCTGCACAGGGAGGGGTTCTTTCTCAACTGCCTCACTTGACCTTTGGGCCTAACAGGCAGTGGGCAAACCCCGTCAGAGGCCTGCAACAAATGTCCTTCTACGCCCTCAGCTCTGCAGGAATTCCTGGGAGCCTGGAAAAGCTTAGAACACTGTAACCTTTTGCTCTTTCCAATTGGATAGGGGGGCTTATGTCTGAAGACCTTGTGGGGGGAACCTGGCGAATACAATTATCTGGGCCACCATCCTCAATATGCCGCTCCATTATAGCAGAGGCCACAGACAGTCAGCTCCGTTAAGTCGTAGCAAGTGTTGACAGGTTAGCACGAACACTTGGAAGAGGTGTGCAAGCGCCCACCAGCTTCTTCCTGGACCACATTCAGCCTCTGCAGACAGGGGCACCTAGGATTGAAGGGTCTGCTGTCACTGACCCAGAACCTTGCAGCCTATTGAGTCGCTACAGTGGTGGAGATGAGACATGATGGAGCAGGATGCAGATGGGGGAGATACCTAACAGAAAGACGGGGACTCCTGAAGCTTGCCGACCAGCTGATCTCAAGTGTTTGTTGCTTTTCGTATCCCATCCCCAATTTTAAGCATATTCTAAAAGTCATTTAACAGAGACCACACGGCGCCCAGAACCGTGATCCCATTAAAGACATTGTAACAGTCAAGAATTTAAGCTCAAGGGGGTGGTGCAGGCTCAGTGAGTAAAGACACCTGAGTTCAAGATCTCCAGGACCCACAAGGTAGGAGAGGACTGAACACTGAAAGCGGTCTCCGACCTCCTCAGATGTAGCATGTACACGTACGGAAACAAACTAAAATAAAATAAATGTTAAGAAGTTTAAAAAAAAAAACCAGCTTAGGTTCAAGGACAAAAAGATTCCAGTCCCAGACTCAAATTTCCTTTTACTAAATCACCTTGAGCGAACAAGGGTTATTCTGTTTTCTCATTTGTAAAGCATCAGTAACACTACCAGATAAGACAGGACAGGAACAGCGCAGGAGAGAACACCCAGGGAGCACCCCCCCCCCCCCACCCCGCAAGTACTGGCTGTCATGGTACCAACTGCTAAGACAGGGAAATGCACAGTTGTCGCGGGGAGTCATTGAAGGCATGTGAGCAGGAGAGAAAGGTGAACCCAGCCGGGACCAAGGAACAAGATGAGAACGGAGTTTGTGGATAGAGGATTCAACCTGTGGTCTTCTGTTCAGATAGCCCCAACCCCAGAGCCTCTGATCCTGCTTTCCCTACCCCCACCCGCTCCCAGTCTACTCAGCAAACTGTATTAGCCTATTAGCCTTGGCGTCTCAGGATTTTGCAGCCTGGCTGTGAACGTGAAATCTTGCCTGAAGGCGCCGAGCAAAAATAACAAGACTCAGCGAGAAATAGCAGATCTGCCCTGGTTTCCAGTGGGGTGCTGGTTTTCCTCTGGCCTGGAGTGGGTGCCTGGTGTTGCACATGGCTTCTCTTTTTCCTGGGGTCCCGTTTTTTTTTAACCTCTGTAGCGCTTTGTCCCTTTCCGTGAAGGAGCTCCATGGCGAACCGCACACACCCCACCTTCTCAGAGCACCTGTTTTGTTTAATTTGTAGGCAAGGAACGTTGAGGCGCTCAATAAACGGATGCTAAGAGTAGAACCGAGTAGACAGATGAATGCAGCTTGCATCCCAAGCAGGCGGAAGTAAGGTACCAGGTAAGATGGGGACCTCAGCACAGGGGTGCTTTGCTTGCTGCCTGTCTTTGGCCAAAGGCTCCTTGGTGTGTATGGGGCGGGAGATTATGAGTAGAAACAGGGGGGAGGGACTAGTAGGTAAGGCTGTTGCCAGTGTAAACCCCCCACCACCCCACACCTACACACACACACACACCCGCAAACCCCAGGCACAAACAGCCCGTCAGAGAAGGAGTCTGGCCAAAGTGTGTCCTGGGGTTGCCCAGGTCGGGTACTGCAAGAAAACTGGTGAGAGGCAGGGCACCTATATTCACCTCTGCCCATGCCTGCAACCTGCCTAGGCCACCTTTACCACCTCTGTGAGCAGCAGCTGTCCCGAACTCACACTCAGAATGCCCCTCTTTTCTCTCTCCAAACCAGCCCCAGTCTTCAGGCTGGAGGCCTGTTCTTAGGAGCAGATTCCAGCAGAGAGGGGGCCCCAACGCCGCCGGGGGAAAGGCTCTGAGTCCACCGAGTCCGCAGCTAGCGGCACGTCCCCTTCAGGGCGTGGTGCAGACACCCGGCTCCACAACCCCAGCCTGCAGGACCCTGGGAGGTCTGAGCTCAGGGCAGCATCAGAGGAGCGAGGAGCCGGACAAGGGCAGGCTTTGTGCGCAGCGGCGGGGACTGCGAGTCCCCCGACAGGGTCCTAGCCCTGCCCTACAGATTCCTGCGGTGCATCCTGGCAACGGTGGCCTCACCACAGGCGACCGCCCCTTTCTCCGGGAGCCCAAGGAAAGGCCAGACAGGAGAGAAGCGCGCTGACTTCGCGGTGCGTTGGGCATACTCTTGCTTTTTGAGAAGGCAAAAGTAGGGACCCATTTTGCAGTCGTTTCACATACAGAAGGCCCATTGATGTTACGGGACCTTTTCCTTCTAGTCCCAGCCCAGCCTGCCAATGACCCTCCAGAGTGAGGGGCTGCACACCTCACACACCTCAGGGCCTCTAAAGCTGAGTCCGTAGGGACTCTGAGTGCTGAGCTCACCACAGGAGGGAGGGGACTGAAAAGGGTCTCTAAATGGCTTACCCCGAGAGACCCTGATTCCAACCCACATCTACCCAGTGCTCCAGAGATCTGTCACTATATCCAACCAGACCCAGTTCCTGGCTCTGGACAGCACATGGCTCAATGTGATCTTGGGAAGCGAGTAGCTAGACTGTTTCCTGGGATGTCACAGACTCTGAAGGAAAATGTCCATAGAGAAGTGTGTGACCTTTCAGGAGGGCAATTTGGAGACATGTGGTAAAGTCTTAACTTCCCCCTCCTTTCAACCAGCCATTTCAAGGAATTTATCCTCAAAAGTCAATTATTAAAGTTCACAGAAATAGTTCCCTACAGTATTAGTTACACCAGAACTACTAAGAGGCTGGCAGTGGACTGTGGTGTAGACTTACAAAGGAGTAGGTCCAGGAAAGGTGTCAGATATCTCTTGAAGCGGGAAGGCATAAGACACAACACATGTTTTCTGCTGAAGATCTC